ATTTCTTTCCATCACCCCTTGTGTTTAGTCGTTCCTATCTTCACCTCTTTGTATTGCTTCAAGAACTCTCTGAAGGGCAGGTTTTGTGGACATGAATTCTTTCAGCCTATTTATGTCATGGAAGATTTTTCTTTCCCCTTCAACTATGATAGACATTTTGACTGGGTAATGTAATCAGTGTTGGCATCTGTGGTCATTTAGAACTGGGAATACTTTGGTCCAATCTCTTCTGGCTTTCATAGTTTGCACTGAAAAGTCACTTGTAATTCTAATGGGTTTTCCTTTATTCGTGGCTTGTTTTTCTTTTGTAGCTTTCAGTATTCTCTCTTTGTTCTGAACGTTTAGTGTTTTTACTATGATGTGCCGTGGAGAATTTCTTTTCTGGTTCTGTCTATTTGGTGTTCTATATGCTTCTTATATTTGTATGGGCATGTTTTTTTTTTAATTTTGAGAAATTTTCTTGTACAATCCTGTTGAAGATCTGTTCCACACCATTATCTTGAGATTCTTCTCCTTCCTGTATGCCTGTGATTCGTAAGTTTGGTTTTTTTATGGCATCGCACAATTCTTGCATATTCCGTTCTTGTGTTTTCTTAAATGTTTCATAATCGTTGCTCGTGTGTTCTAATTTGTCCACTTTATCTTCCAGTCTTGATATTCTGTTTCCATTTCATTCATCCTATTGGTGAGGCTTTCTCCTGTTGTTTCTAACTGGCTTCCCGAGTGTTTCACTTTCTTCCTCATTTCAGCCTGAGTATTCTTCAATATTTCTAACTCTTTTCTGAATTCATTCAGAAGTTTATCCCTATCTTCCTTCAGTTCTTTGATTTCTTTGTGTGTTCTTTAAATTCACTGAATTCTTTTATCATGTTTATAATTATTCTTTTGAGATATGTGTCCTGTTTTATCTCTAAGGAGTTCTCATTGTACTCCTCTAGAGGAGTATTGGTACTTGACGGGGATGTATTATTTTGTTTTTTCATATTATTATTTTTTTCTCTGTGACTTTGACATGTGAATTTCCCTCATAGTTTCTGATTCTTCTGTGAGACTCAAGCCTTCCTTTGTTGAGTTAGATCTGCTTCTTTTTGTAAACTTTATGTGCCTTGTGGTTTACTTGTTAGGCATGAGAAGCTAGTCTAGGTTTCAGGTTCTTTCTTTTGATTTTATATTGGAGTGGCCTAATTGCTTTTGCCTTCAGGAGGTCCCCTAGAGGCCCAAGTGAGATTGAGGCTCAGATGCTCTCAGGTTTTCTCCTGAGGTCTGGGTCCCTCCAGGAAAGATGCTACCCTCAGGAATTTGAGGGCTGGGCTGGCCTGGGAGAAGGGCCCAGGATAGATGCTGGTCTCATGAAGCTGGTGAGGGTGGGACCAGGCCCAGAGGGTTCCTGGAGGCTGCAGGGAGGAACTGGGTTGGTGCAGATGCAAAGGATCAGGAAGCAGTGGTGGCTCTGGGCTGAGAGGTTAGCCCTGGTGTCTGGGGTGTCAAGACAAGAAATGGGCCTGTACCCAGGCTAGGAAGAGAGATGTGGTGGGGGAGCTAGGAGGGTGAAAGAGGTTGGGGGAGTCAAGGTGCAATGAGCACACTGGACTTACCCTGGGAAGGTGCTGGGACCAGGACACTGGAGGCTGTGAGCCCAGGGAAGTGAAGGGCTTTTGATACTATTATGTAAAGCAATATTATATGGTATGTAAAGGTTACATGATATGATAAACACCAAAGTCAGGGAACTGTGTATCTGGTGGGGTGAATATGGGGAGGAACCAAGACTGGGGAGTTCTCTCAAGGGACTTCAGCCTCATTTTGATGTTTAATTTCTTTTACTTTAAAAAAATTTTTTACCTTTAATTGTGTCCGTGTGCCTGTGTGCGTGTGTGCGTGTGTGCATGTGTGTATGTGTGTGTGTATGCCCACAGAGGAAAGAAGAGGGTGTTTAGCCCCTGGATCTGGAGTTACAGGCAGTTGTGAGCTGCCTTTTGTGGGTGCTGGGAGCTGAGGTTCAGTCCTCTTTAAGAGCAGCTAGTACTCTTAACTGCTTAGCCATCTCTCTAGTCCCTAATGTTTAATTTCTTAAGCTGGATAATGGGTATACAGAGGATCCTTTAATTGTTTATGCTTAAAAGCTTACATAATGAAAAAATAAAGGGATACAAAAAATAAACTAAGTAAACATTGACCAAAAGAAAGCTGATATGAGCCTGCTGTGGTGGTGCATGCCTTTAGTCCCAGCACTTGGGAGGCAGAGGCAGGCGGATCTCTGTGAGTTTAAGGCCAGCCTGGTCTACATAGTGAGTTCCAGGACAGCTGGGGCTACAGGGAGACCCTGTCTCAAAAAGAAACCTGATACGATAATAATATCAGATCAAACAGAAGGTGAGGTGAAGTGTTGGGAAGGACAAGGAGGGATGAAAGGAAGACGACGCAGTAATCACAAACTTGCATGGCCTAGTAAAGTGGCCTCAAAATAACACATTGAACAAAGCCTGACAGAATTAATGGGGAAAATGAAACATGACTGCTTCATGACAGGGTTACAATGTATCTCTATTAAACTGAAAAGTGAAGATGACAGAAGATAAGAAAGACATAAAAGAGTTCACAGAATAAACACAAGCCAAACCAACAGACAGCAAGTAAGATAATCATTTGGGGCATATATAACATTCAGAGAAATTCACCTTTGTCAGATAACTTTACAAATATAGAATAATTGCTGTTTCATTGAACAAAGCCTGACAGAATTAACGGGGAAAATGAAACATCACTGCTTCATGACAGGTTTACAATGTATCTCTATTAAACTGAAAGGTGAAGATGACAGAAGATAAGAAAGACATAAAAGAGTTCACAGAATAAACACAAGCCAAACCAACAGACAGCGAGTAAGATAATCATTTTGGGGCATATATAACATTCAGAGAAATTCACCTTTTGTCAGATAACTTTACAAATATAGAATAATTGCTCTTTTATTGAGGCGTTCTTTGTTTAAATAATCAGACACCAACAATAAAAAGTCATTTAAGATCTTTTATATATTTGTGAGGGGGAGAATTGGGATAAAAAATAATAATAGTGAATGTTTTAAAATACTTAAATCTGAAAAATAGTATAAAACCTAATGAAATAAAGGTGAAGCAATAATTAGAGAAAATTTGTAATCTTAGATGCAATTATCAAAATGAAAAATAAACAACTACCATAGTGACAGCAATAATTACAGAAAAGAGATTTGTTTTTGAAATTCTCATTTTATGGCAGCTTTATGCCAATAAAATTTTAAATTTAGGTGAGACAGATTTTTACAGGAAAGAAAGCTTGCATTTTAAGTTGGCTTAGGAAAAAAGGAAAAAACCCTGGATTCTCCATAACCATTAGTGGAATTGAATCAAATGTCTTCCTGCCTTTCTACTCCCTTTCCTGAACCGATTGGCTATAAGATGGGTTTTACATAGTCTTCAAAGAACAGATGCTAGTTAGCTGAAGCAAGCCATTTCAGAGAAAGAAAAAAGTTTCCAGGAGGCTAATATAATCTTGACACCATGTCCACAGGGACAATGCAAATCAAACAGAACACAGGTTAAGGAGGGAGCCCTGAGGGCAGAACTCTGGGAATCTTGCCTGTCTCTGTGGGTCCTCAGCTGCTGAGTTGGGCCTTAGAGCAGATACTCAGCATGTGGATGGTAAATGTCCAATAATAGCTAAGAGAACTTCAAAGGGAGTTATCTGCCTTAAGTCTCAAGATTTCTTAGGTGGCTCTAATGATGGTGGCATGGCCTATGTAAAGATAAAATGTCAAAAAGTAGAATACAGTGCTTAGGAATATGCCCAGCATGGGTAGGAGTTGATTATATAAGAAATATAGTGTTGTGATCAGTTGGAATATTGAAAATGGAAGTCTGGAAAATGAGCTCCCATATGGAGAAAAAACTAGATAGCCACCCCCATAATGCACAATATTCCAGATGGATTCGAAACCTGAATGTGAAGAAGCATACTTTAAAATGATCAAAGAAATATCTGACCAGAACAAGGGATGGAATGGCAAGGCAGCAAGAATGCTCTGATCCTTAGACTGGAGCTGTCAAAGGGTAGGAAGATGGTAAGGGTGATGTGACGATGGGAGGAACAAGCATCTTATGTGAATAGAAACATCTACTTATCTCAAAGATGTAGCCTGTTAACCAACAATTTCAGTTCTAGACGGACTTTTGACATATGTATAGGAGAGAACAAAACCTTTAATACCTCAGGAAGAAAGTAAGTTAATGAATGGAAGGAAAACTGCAATAATGTATATGAATAAGTAGATTTATGTGATTAAAATGGTAGCTTCCAAAGTTGTAGCAGTGAATGAAAGTGGAAATTGAGGGTAATGGTACGCCATCTTTCTGTGTGTGCCTAGCATACATGCTGATTGTGTTTGCAATCATGTATTAGTGTTGTGGAATCACAGACACAGTCTGTACCGGATCCATGTTTGGAGTTGCCACTAGGGGTGGTCATAAGCAGTGGGACCAATGCAAATGGCCCAGCATGTTATGTGTTTCCATTTTGGGTGGTGAACAAATGATTGTTATTCTCTCCTTTGGGTACTTAAGAAAAAATGAAAATAGAAATGAGTTTGCTGATGGGGTAAGGATTGCATTTAGTCAGTCTGTGAGGGTAGACCTATCTAGATAAAGGTGACAGGAGCCTGGAGAGTCAAAGGTCCAGCTTCTATCATGGGTCTGTGAGCAGCTGATTCCCTTCTCTAACCCTTGCTTCCTCAGTGAAACCCTGGTGTGGTCAGAGCTGGTTTCCCCTCCTATGCCAGTATCTTCTGTTGCCTAGACTTTTGGAACCTAATAATTTAAAGATATGCACAGGGACACATTGCCCATTTATGTATATGTGCCCTGATTCAATCCTGTGTTCGTGTATGTGCACATGTGTGCATATGCACTATGTACACTTGATTGTGGTGCAGATCCACCTTAGGGTAATTTTTCCTTCTGCAGATCCTGACAGGAGAGGACTGGAATGCAGTGACGTATCATGGGATCGAATCCCAAGGTGGAGTCAGCAAAGGCATGTTCTTCTCCTTTTACTTCATTGTCCTGACATTGTTTGGAAACTGTATCCTTCTTGAGGCTGGGTGTAGTGCTCAGTGTGCTTTTCCTGTGGCCACCTCACGTTCCCTCCAGAAGGGCTGGAGTATGCAAACTGTGCCTTCTCAGAATGTGGGTGCTGAGCATCCCCAGGATGCCAGAGCACTGAGTCTGGAGACACTATATGGGGAAGGGGTGTCTAGATGTGGGGGTGGACCATGTGGTCAGCAGGAGCTCAGGAAACATTCTGAACAGCCTTGGAGTCCTTGTAGGAAGGTGTGGATATAGAATGGCAGAAGGCTTTCTCCCTTATTAGGTTTTATTGAGTAAGTTTTGGCACTGAGCTTTAAGAAGACCTCTCCTACTATAAATAGAGAGTTGCAGAGCATGGCCCTGACCTTTATCAGAGGCAGGTCTGCCTGGCTGGGGAAAGTGATGCTGTCCATCCTCTGGACCAGGGTAGACCCAGGAGCAGGTAGGCAGCATCCTAGGGACACCATAGGAAGAGGACTGGGACTAAGGAGAATGTAGAATCCGCTGACTTATTTTTCATATCAGGCTGAGGGCCAGGAGAACCAGGTGTGAATGTGATCTGAATGCATCTGAGGCAGGAAAAATAGCCCCAGGATGGTTTAGGGTTTGTGTTGTCTGTAGAACTCAGTTGGGTATCAGATGTCTGAGGGTATAAAGCTGAGGTGCCAGCATTAGCCAGCAGGGCTGGGTTGGGGTCTGGGAATGTGTATTCTAACAGATTCCTAAGCAGAGCCTACTGTTGCTGGTTTAGGAACCCTGCTTTGAGAATGTGGTAGAAAGTTCTAGAGCCCAGAAATAAGTTGTAAGAATTGTTGCACACCCACCTCTGCAAAGGTGGGTCCTTTACAGCCCAGGGTTGGTGTTCCATCTTCCCCATGAGGCTGACTGAGGCCTTGGGAGAGAGTGGGTCCAGTGTGGAGGAAGCTAAGTGCAGCTCTGGTTTCAGGGAAGGGTACTATATAGTGTTGGCCTATACTGGGACAGTGACTCATCACAGCAATAAAACCCTGACACTGAGTCCAGGCATGGAAGCCATCAGGTCTCTCCCTTCCTGTTCAGTTAGGGTGGTTTCTGATATACTTATATATCCCTCTATCTGAAGGATATATAAGAGTACATTCCAAGAGTACAGCCTTTAGTCCTGCTCTGGACATGGAAAGTCCTCTGGGTGTGAGGAAGGATCCACGAGATGCATAGTGCTTGGGGTATCCTGCTTGGTGTCAGCCTAGTCTTGATGTTCTGTCCCATGGATACTCTTGGAACTCTGAGCAGGCTTGCCTGTGATAATGGCTGGAGCCATGGGCCTCAGCAAGGGATACTTAGCCAGCCAGAGAAGGCCCTGACTTGAGTGGGTTTTGATTGGCACAGGCCAAGACAATAGGAAGAATGGCATTGCCTGGCAAAGATGAGTCCCCAGACCTAGAGTGAAAGGGGCTGAAATTCAGTGAGCACAGGGCCCTAGTGGGCCCTGATGGGATATCTGACAGGGTCTGCAACACTTTTGGTTGTCAGGACTAAGGACGTCAAATGGAATCAAGTGGACAGGGGCTAGGGATTGGTATCAGTGCCAAGGCAATGATTTCTGAATTGTGAGATGACTTAGAAGGGTAAGTCTATATTGGGGATTGGCAATAATAGTCATGTCATAACAAGGAATAGTCTTTTTCTTTGTGGGAAGAGGCTTATGGGAAGGATTCCTTTAGAAGGGGCCACAAAGTGATTAGGGCAGTAACAGAGTAACCTGGTCTTGGTGAGATTCAGGGAGGAGGCTCATGCTGCACTGGGAACTGGGTCTCTCACCTATATGACTGTGGCTTCCTTGTTCCTAAAGGGGTGGTGGCAGCACCTTGCCACAGGTTTCCTGGAGTTAGTTCAGGGTGGAATGCAAGTGCTGGATATTCAGACCTTATGTGTACTAGTGTGACTCAGGAAAGCACACTGAGGAAGGATGCCTAGGAATTCATGTAGGAACAGGAAGTAAGGGAACAGGCAAGATGGGGAAGTGTTATGAACCTAGCCTAGCTGGGGCCAGGAACTGGCTGGTCATACGTGAATTCGTATGTTGGCTTAAATAGGTTTTACTCATAGGCCCCAGAAGGTGGTGGGTCCTAGCTGAAGCCTATGAAAGCAGAAGGTGTTTGTTTAAAGACTGCTCATGCTGACCAGAACAGGAGAGTTGGAGATAGAGACAGGCACATGGTGTGCCCACTATAGGAGGCAAAGGCAAATTGACCAAACACAACCTCTGATCTTTGGGACTACAGCATCAGCCCCAAAGATACTGTGTAAAAAGAGGCCTATGTGTGTGTTAGAGGAGGTTGAGCCTTGAGAGACTAGAGGTATAATTCAGCTGATGAGAACAGTGTCCAGGAAACAGAGACCTTGTAAGTCTGGGGACAACAGGGCCCTGAGGGGCCTGGTGCCAAGGAATGGAGATTGGAGACTTGGGACCTTGGGAGATGGGGATTTCTGTCTTTTATGGGCAACCACAGTGGGATGATATGGGGCGCTGTGGGGCAGAGAGCTCCCTTCCTTAGCTGGAACCAACCAGACATACTGCTGAATGTCTTCCTAGCCATTGCTGTGGACAACTTTGCCAATGCCCAGGAGCTGACAAAGGTATGTAGGGATACCACCTGAAGCCTGGGTGCTGGGAGATCTAGGGGTCATCTTGATGAAACTGTAGAGTCATGAGGAAGGTCACCTCCTGGATCAGGGTCCATGTGATTGACCCCTCTTCAAGGGAGTCTCCTTAAGGTCCTGAATAAAGAGACATGAGACTGGGTGCAAGGTGCATGGAATTACAGCCACAGAAGCAAGGAGTGACATGACCAGGAGGCAGATACGTGTGGGCAGGCTTCCACACATGTGGGAAGCCAGAGAAGCCATGGCTTAGGAAGAAAGGATGAACAGTAAGATGGGGAGTGGTGGTACTGAGGGTAGGAGGTACAGAATGGACAGAGCTACCTCTGCCACAGGAGTGCAGGGCCCTGAGATACACTGATCTGAGCAGGTGTGTGATAATGGGAGAAGTGTGTCCAGACCAGAAGATATATGAGGTGAACCCTAGGAAATGCCCAGCTTTGAAAACCTGGAAAGGGCAGTGAGGGGCCACCTGCAGTGCTGCCCTCTGATGTTGGACTTGGCTGGAGTCTGGAAGAAGAGCGGTGGTTTTGTCTCAGCACATCTGTGCCACAGCAGGACAGCTCCTTCTCCATGCAGTACCCAGCAGGGACTGTTAATATTCATTTCTCATGCACAAGCCCAGTGGGAAACATGATCATCTCTCTCTCTTTCTTTGATTTCCCTCTAGATGACATAGCCCCCTATCTGGTAACCCTCAGTACTGTGTCCTGGACACTTTGTACCTGGGCTGTCTGCTGTCAGCCTTAGGCTGGTATTTTGACTCAAATTTGCTGCAGCATTATAGGGTGCTATCATGTACATTGCAAATACTCCATGTGCATGGTTTATGCATTAGGCATGTCCCTGCCTCTGTGGGGGATGCTATGTGATCTCTGATGTTCGAGTTGGTGCCTGTGTAAGTCTCTCATCTGATCTTAACAATCCACTGCTTTCCCCACTCTGGAGTTGAGGAAGGCAAGTTCAGAGTGCCTTCAAGAGGGCATAGCCTGTGCTGTGTGCTGGCTGCAAGTTTCTATTTAGCCATCCTCTTCCTACATGTACCCCTTGGCCATTGCTGTTGGGGGCCAAACTCCTTCCTTGTTCTGACTCCCAAGGACTCCTGGCTCCTGAGGGCTCACAAATACTACCTGCTTGCTTGTTACTGATTCACTGGGCCAGTGTTGAGTATTGCCGTCCAGGAGCTGTCCAGTCCCTGGCTGGGCTGCATAGGCTAGGGAACCCATGTATTCCCAGAGCTGTCCTTGGTGTCAGTGCCTCTGGGACCATGTGAATTTGGGGTACTAACAGCATTATTGACATGAGTGCCAACTGTTCCTACACAGGAGTGAACTTGAGTCTGTTGCTCCCCCCCCCCCACCTTCAAGTTCTTCAGTGGATAATAAAAGGCTGAGGAGGCAAAAGGCTCCTTCTTTGGAATTGGGACTAATGGAGGCCTCTCTGTCTGGCCATGGGTGTTCCCTGGATTAGCCAGGAGACCTTAAAAGAAGGACTTGGTAGCTTTTTATTGCTGTGACAAAATAGCTAGAGAAACAGTATAAAGATAGAAAAAGTTATTTTACCTCATGATTTCAGAAGTTAAATTCCATAATTAACTGGCTGGCTCTATTGTTTCTAGAACTGTAATGAGGTCAAACATCATGGCAGAGGACTGTGGCAGAGCAGAGCTGCTCACTTACTAGTATCCAGGAAGCAGAGACAGACAGGAAGGGGTCAGGCCATGATGGATATGGCACCCAGTGACATGCCTCCAGTGACATACCTTCCAGCAAGGACCCATTTCCTAAATAGGGACCAAATGTTCAATAGATGAGCCTGTAGGGCACATTTCACACTTCCACAAATGTATTATAGAATTGATTATTTTTCCATGAAGTATGAATGAATTCAAACTAAATTATTTGTAGACTGTTCATGGGATTTAACGCACACCTTGCCCCAGTGGACTATAAACCAGGACTGGTCCCTCCCTTTGAAGTGAACCTAGTTGGGAGTACTGTATGGAGGAGAAGAGCTGTCTTTTTCCTGGTCCTGAAGCTTGAGGGTCTGCTTTATGTCAAATTTTTGTTCAGCAACTCAGGATTTAGTTTTTGTCATTTCTGTGTTCCTCAAAGCAAATTCAAGACATTTTGGGGAATGCTAGCTCCCAGGGGAGCTAGGTGGGCCTGGGCTTAGAGGTTGTAAGAGGTGTGATCTTAGCTTTCTTTTTTGGACTGTGGATTCAGAAGAGGAGCTCTGGAACACAGCTTATTTGTTTTGCTTAGTGATAGGAGGTCGAGGCTAAAGGGTCTCTTCAGCTGTCTGTTCCTCTTCCTGGACAGGTATCTTCACGCACATAGGTCCTATCCGAAGCGGAGCTTCACAGCCACACCTGAGGGGAAGTAGACAGACAGGATCTACTGGGTTCAGGCAGAGAACTTCAAAAGTGGCCTTGCTGTCACTCCTGGCCCTGTGGAGGAGGCCAAATTTGTTCAAGTGGTCCAGGTGCTCCTGGAAAGACAGAGTGATGGAAAGAGGCACAGATCTGCTGTGACAAGCCTGAGGTGCATTGCACAGGCAGAAATGTCCTTGTAGTGGCTTTGTACTGATCTGGGGCTCAGAAATAAGGTCTGGATATAAGCATAGATATGAGTCCACCAGTTCATGAGCACATTGGAGATGACACTATCTAGAAGATGCTGATTCAGGAACCTTCAGCCACAGTCTTTGACCCTCATGCTGGATTAGGACCTGGATATTCAATCCATGGTGCTGAGGGCAGGAGAAGCACAGATGTCCTAGGAAGAAGAACTGATGGCCTCAGAGTGACCACAGCACTCTGAGGGGCCAGTCAGTTTTGTTATTCAAACAGGATGAAGAGGAGATGGAAGAAGCAGCCAATCAGAAGCTTGCTCTACAGAAGGCCAAAGAAGTAGCAGAAGTCAGCCCCATGTCTGCTGCCAACATCTCCATTGCTGCATAAGGCTCTTGGGAATGGAATATGGGTGGCTTTGGGCAACAGCAGAGCCCATGTTTTCTTCAGGTACCCCTGCCTTGGCCAGGTCTGGTAAAGACAGTCTTGCCCTGGTATGATGTTGAGAGGAGTAAGAGCAAAGGGCTTTCCCTTGTCTGAACATGGGCGGGGTTTAGGGGTATGATCTTCATGTTGGATGGGATGGGCTTCTGACTTTTTGGTGTGTGGGTGGTTCCAGCATTCCTTTCTAGGCAAAGCTATGGCTGGGGTCAGGAGGGCAAGGAGTTATTATGCTGATTTTAAACATAGTTTTTCAGAAATGTATTTTGTGAGGCAAGAGGTTCTGGTGGCACCTTGGCAGCTCAGCTGCTTTCAGAAATATCTCTGCTAGTGTTTAGCATGGAGGCTTCTGTGGTGAGAAGGAGGAGTTGTGTTCTGTAGGAAGATCCAGTTTCCCTACTATCTATCTGGGTCTTGTGTACAGTGCAGCTTATGTAGAGGGTTAGGGACTTGAGGGAGTTTAGTGTTTAGGAATCCAGGAAAGTTGGGCATATGACCAGGCCATGGGTGGGTCATGAGAGCAAAAGTATACCCTGCTGGCCCTGCAGCTGCACACCCACTCTGCCACATACCTTTCACAGGCTGACCACATGCCCCTGACCCTGTAACTGAATCCCTCCCTCTCTGTGGCTGCTTTGACCACTGTACCAGGCAAAGCTACGGGGCATACTGTACTGACATATGCCTGCGTATGTTGTTGGATGTGTGTATATATGAGAGTTGGTTGGTTGTGGCTGTCAGTATAGTGACTGAATGTGTGTGTGTGTGTGTGTGTGTGTGTGTGTGTGCGCGCGCACTCAAAGTGGATCTGTTGCTGTCAGGAGGTCATCAAATGGTGTTTTCAGAGGACCTATCTCCAAGTCTAGCAGAAAACATTGGCTGGGTATTGTCAGCCAGAGTAGTTACAGTTTATAGGGACCAGTCCTGGGGGCCAGGCAGGCTTAGGACATGGCATTTGTTGCTCATATGGCTGCTGGAGCTCAGTGCTCTGTCCTGTTGTTTTACCATCTGAATTTGGTCCTGAGGATGCTATGACCTGTCAGGTGTATCCCTCTTCATGCTTTTATATGAGTTCTGTAAGCTGCTGATCTGTAAGCATTTGAGAGAGTAGAAGGTGAGCATTTGGCGTGATCAGCTCCTAGCCATCATGTGTTCTTGTGATGTGGTGTTTTTTCTTTAGCACTTGTCTTTTCTGCTGTTTTTGGGTATGAGCAGCTCCTGCTGACTCAGGGCTACTTCTCCAAGAGATCTGTGAGGGAAGATATCAGCTCCTGTACTGGTTGAAGCCTAGGGAAGAGTCTAAGGTCCCTGGCACAGCCTAGACGAGTACATCAAGTCACCAAGAAAGGCAGTCCAGACATTCTTCCTCCATTGCCATTTCGCTACTTGGAGTCATTGTTGCAGATGTGAGGTATTCTCAGGCATGGGTCAGGTATACTGGTATATAAGTCAATCTAGTTTACTCAAGATCCCAGGGAGTCAGCCATACTGGATGAGACTTTTCCCTGGGTGCGGTGCTGAGTGTGAAGGCTGTTGCTTTTGATTTGTGCCAGATATGCCTAGACCTTTGTGCACGTTCTCTTGTGATTTGCTTCTGGGCTGAGGAGAATATGACTCTTAAGAATTTGTCTTGGCATTGGTGTTCACAGCCATGCCTTGGGTCAGCATGGAGGGACACTCCTGGGATGCCGTGTGGCACCTCTGATACTAATGGACCTTTAACGTGCATGGTGATTGAGGCCTTCTGCATTCTGACAGATGGTTCCAGGATCCTTAGGAGGAGATACAGGCCTGTGTAGACCTCATGGGCGCTCCCTAGACTCCTGGGAGGAGTGGGGAGCTAAACTTGAGGTTATCTTCCTGGATCTTTCGGTCATGACTCTCTCATCTTTTTTTTTTGTCTTTTTTTGAGACAGGGCCTCCCTGTAGCCCCAGCTGGCATGGAACTTGCTATCTAGACCAGGTTGGCCTTGAACTCACAGAAATCCACCTGCCTCTGCCTCCCAAGTGCTGGAACTAAAGGACACTCTCATCTTTGCTGAATACTGACTGACACATGCAAACACACATAATCTCACTCAAATTTTACATAGTCTCACATTCACAATCTCACATGCTCTTACATACATTCATTGATAACTTCGCACACTCACTTCCAGTCTCACGCTCACAATCTTAAATATCCACAGTCTAACAATCTTACCCAGACTCTCCCAGTCTTAACTCCACAATCTTACTCACAGTTGCACAATCACATAGTCTGTTACAGTCTAATGCTCATATTCATGATCTCATACAGTTACCTCCAATCTCATACTCATGCAAGGTGGCACTCTCACACTCAGCCTTATAGTAACATTTTAACATTCTTACATGTTTGTTTGCACTGGGGCTTGTGGGAAGGTGAGTTGCTCTCAAGTTACAGTGTGTCAAGATGTTGGCCTTGAGAAAGGGGCACTGGAAACCTGTCTGACCTTCACTGAGAAGCCAGGAAATGACTGTAAAGAAATTTTGGGGTTCTTTCTGTTGTTTTTGGAAAAAAAAAACTTCTACACATCACTTGGAAATGGTGTTGCATTCACATGGAAAGTGGGTCAATGATGTTGATATGCCCTGATTTTTCCCTGGAGGGGTCATAGTGGTTTGGAAGCCATGGAACTTGAGTCTAAGATTTGAGGGCTTAAGAGCAGAGTGGGGACTAGGTGCTTACGGGGAAGGCAAGATGGGGCAGGCGACAGGACCCAGAGAGCCCCACAGGTAAGGGTATTCTTGCTTTCTGTATTTACCATGTGCTTATCCAAGGCCAGGAGCCACAAGTCAGCCTGCCCAGATCTCTGGGTGCCAGGAGCTATTGGAATTGCTATAAAGGTAGCCATAGCTCTTCCCAAACCACTCCTTCTTGGGGCAGTATGGGCCAACCTGTGGTGAGGGATGGTCTCCAAGAGAACTGTGTCTCATCTTCCAGTCATCATAGGATTTGCTGTGTTCACTTTAGTCCCACTTTTCTGCATGTGTGGAATTGGTTCTCTACTTCTCTTTTGCCCTGAGGTCTTGGCCAGTGCCTGTCTGGTGGATGCACCTCCAGCTTCCTGCCAGATGTGCACTGTGACCTGCACTTGCACTAATATGGTGCCCAAGTGTCACTTGTGTCTCAGAACATCCTGGTTTTCTCACTCCTGTTTATGTTTTGTTTCTTGCATGTGCAGTTTTGTAAAGCAAACTCGAGGTACTGTATCTCGCAGCTCATCTGTCTCCAGAGTAAACTCACCGTGAGTCGCTCTGCTACGATTCTCCATCCGTGGCTTCATGATAACTACATGCACACACCTTCCCTCCACTCCTGATTGCTTTCCCCCAAAGTCATTTGCTTCATGGGTAGCTCCAGGCCAGCCTTCTATGGGAATGATGGGCATATTCCCTGTTGTCCTATTCATGGGCCCAGGTCTCTCTGAGCTTGGCCTTCCTCTCCCTCCTGGTGTCTGTCCTCTTGTCTGCTGTCTGTCTGTATGCAGTCATTCTGGTATCTTGGATATATAGACTTCTCCTGTTGGATAGGGGCACTGTGGGTTCAGGTCTTCTGTGGTTCCCATTAAGCTCCATGTATAGGGATGGCAGAGAACGTTCTTGAGACATCCTTGACTCCCCTTGCCCCTCTTACTTTTGAGGGAATGTGTCAGTTATTCTGAGGCAGCTCTTGTTCTAGCATGAGCAGAGCTGCTATAGAGCTTGTAGTACATAGGTCAGGAGAGTGATAGAAACTCCAGGTTAGGAGCCGAGAGTCTAGGAGTAGAATGGGAACCAGATGCTCATGGGGAAGGCAAGTGGGGCAGGCAGCAGGCTAACCTGGCCTTCCTAGGGGTGACTTTGGCCTGACTTGTTGTCCTCTTCCTGAGCAGCTCTTCCTGGGAGATATGTGCCTGAGTATTTTGCTCTCAGGGTTCTCTCCTCAAGGATGGGGCTAGTAAGTGAGGGTCTCCTGTTGCCCTGTATAGCCCTCCAAGCTTCCAGGAGAGGTACTGGTACTATATTCTTTTGCCAGTGGCTCCTCATGCTAGAGAAGTAACAGGTGAAGTTGGGCTCCCTGCATGGGATGGCCAGGTGTCCTCTGTGTCCTGTGTCTGCCTTGTGTGCCTCTTTGGCAATAACACAGAGTAATCTCAGTCTTCCCACCAGCACCAGACACTGCTGGTTGTTGTTGCCTTGATGCCCTAATGGGATGAGGACCCATTGAGTCCTCAATAACATTCATATTGAAGAAGTGAGATGTAGGTAGTGCATACCAGAAATGCTTTACCCTACCAGTTTCAATAAGTGATTGGCCAGCTCAGCCCAGAGGCTTCACAGAGAACCACAGTATCTTAGTTGGGAGCTTCTCACCTTCCTGGCATATAGCTGGATTGCACCTATTGGGACCAGGATACCATGGGAGTCACTCTTCTTCATGACTCCTTAGAGAATTCTGTTAAATAAGGACCCTGCCTGAGTAGAGTTGCCAGCGATATGGTAATACAGGTCAGTGAGTGGCTCACCTTTCAATCTCAGGCTTTTGAATTGGCTGTGAAGTTAGTAGAGAGGAACGGAATGAGATGCCTGTGGCAGCTACACTGGGCACAGGTCAAAGCAAGATTCTAAACAGTGACCAGGGAAGGGGTAGAATGACTCAGATATGTAGATGGAGACTAAGAAATCTATCCTGGGAGGAACCTAATGGTCTCCATGGGATTGTGGGCAGATAAAGACAGCCTGGTAATATCAGGGCCAGATCAATGGGTTGGGGGGGGTGTTCAGAAGTCTCTCAGAGTAGGTGAGTGAGTGACCTTTGCCCAACTAGTTGGTATCTTGTTCTGCCTAAGTCATGATTGTTCTGCCAACCCAATCATGTCTTTTAGCCCCATTGGCAGCTTGGCTTCTTTCTGAACCTGAAGTGGTTTCTGGGAGAGAATCATACCTGTGGCAAGGCTTGGGCTGAGCCAACTCTGCCTACACCACAGAGCTGGAGCTTCAGGCCTTTGCATGCACCCATTTCTTCACGGTCCATCTTTTCTAACAGAGAACTGTGATACTGATCCTAGCCTATGGACTCATTTGAGCAAGTCACTTCTCTGCTGATCAGAGGGCTCAGGGTCCATTTTGAGGGTACTGGACTGATTGAGAGGCCTAAGGCAGTGACCAGCCATCAGCCCTCCCAGGGCTTCTATGCCTGGTGTACATCTTCAGGCCTTCTTCCACTACATGTCTTCCAGTGTTGTACAGAGATGAACCCAGCCAGGGGCAAGGAGGCCCTGTGGGTATTTCAGAGCATCCTTGGAGCAGGTATAACATGGTTTTGATGCTTCAGTGGGGACAGATGGCAGCTGAGGTCCTGTACTAGCAGATGCCCCCTGTCATCCTGCTGGTCCCACCCGAGTTCCTAGGGGATGCACAGGTACAATGTTCTGCTGTCAGACTTCCCAGGTGCTGTTCTGTAGTGGCTCCACACAGTGGAGAAGGGACAAGATTTGCTGTCCCTCCACCTTGGACAGGCATGCTGCAGTAACTAGGTTGTTCCCTCTGGTACAATTGTACCCATACCTTAAGACAGTTGAGGTCTGATGGAGTTGTACCTTCTTCAGGCACTTCTTTCTTTCTGCCCTATATATACACAAACCTAACTTCATTAGCAACTAACCGTGGACCCTGAGCAGGTCACATGCTCTCTCTGGGCTCAGTGCCCTCACTTGTGAAATGGGCACAGAGGAAGTACCTGTCCTTGAGGTGGTTATAAGGGTTGTATGAGGTGGGCATGGAGCCCAGAGCACTGATGCCGTGGTCGTCATTGTTAGTGGTATTACAACCACTGCCAAGGTTGTCCAGAAGCTTCCAGAGGCTGAAGGATGAGGCTGTAGCCTCAGATGAGTTTTCTTCTTGGCAGATGTGGGGCTGGGATCATCTATGGTCACTTGCTTTGGTGCTTTTATTCAGTAAAGAGCCCACAATACAAAGGACTTCCTGTGCTCACCCTGCTTTGGAGGCCCATATATGATGTGGGAACAGAAGGTGCCTGGACCCATGAGGTTAGAGGGAAGACTAAGGCCCTTGGGCTGTTCAGTGAGGACTGAACTGGATCACTGCCTACCTGTGGTGCTGGAGGATTCCAAGGGTATGTCTGGCTCTGTTCCCAGTGGAGTGAGGGGCTCCCCATTGGAGCCAAGAGAGAAGAGGGCATTGGTTGCCATGGAAAGGGGTTTCCTCAGCTCCAGACCTGACTTTTGGCTCCTTGTAATTGAGCCAAATAGTGGCTTCTTAGGGCCACCTGACTACTGCAGAATGCAGCAGAGGCTCTGTTTGCTCCTGAGAGGGCCAGATGCTCTTGGCTATTGTCTGCTCTCCTGGGAGGTGCCATGGGTAAGTGCTCTGGAGAAGTGGCAGCTTGACTGGCCCCTCTTGGGTCGGCTCTCAAGGGAGGCTGCAGGGGAGCCTCCAATCACCCCTCTTCCATTTGCACGATGCCATTCCCTTCTCGTTATGACTTTCCTGGCCAGCTGCCCATCTTTCCTAAACGTCTGTTTGCCCACTCATGCTGGTGCCTAGCATTCCCACTGCCTTACACCCCTCAGATTCTGGGCCACTGTCCTCTTGCTGGAATGTCCTCCAGAGCCCCTCACCATCCTGGCACTGTCAAGTATGTCTGCCCTGAGGAACACTGGGAGGAAGGGCTGAACTCTGACTTCCTGGGTATCCTCACTCCCCCACCTGCAACACTGCCAAGGTCTTGAAGGCTTCTGTTGCCTCTCCCCCGTCCCTACCCTCATCCCTCCATTGCTGTGTGTCCATCTGCGACTTCCCTGTGAGACAGGTAGGCTGGGACAGGTGACACTCATGACCGTCTCCCCGCAGCAGGCAGCAAAACTCGGCCAAGGCGCGCTCAGTATGGGAGCAGCGGGCCAGCCAGCTACGGCTACAGAACCTGCGTGCCAGCTGCGAGGCACTGTACAGTGAGATGGACCCAGAGGAGCGGCTACGCTACGCCACTACACGCCATGTGCGGCCAGACATGAAGACGCACATGGACCAGCCACTGGTGGTGGAGCCCAGCCGCGATGGCCCGCGGGCACCCATGGGAAGCAAGGCGAGGCCTGAGGGCACAGAGGCCACTGAAGGAGCTGACCCTCCGCGCCGGCACCACCGGCACCGAGACAAGGACAGGGCCCCTGCTGGCGGCGAGCAGGACAGGACAGACTGTCCGAAGGCAGAAAGCACAGAGGCCGGGGCACGGGAGGAGCGTGTGCGCCCACGTCGCAGTCACAGCAAGGAGGCTGCAGGAACCGCGGAGGTGCCAGTGCGCAGTGAACGTGGCCGGCGCCACCACCGACGAGGTTCCCCAGAGGAGGCGGCCGACCGTGAGCCCCGGCGCCACCGCACCCATCGGCATGGGCTGGACTCGGGCAAGGAGGGTGCCCCACCTGCACTTGGACCCAAGGGTGAGCGTCGCCCGAGGCACAGAGGCCCCCGAGCCGGCCCCCGGGAGGCAGAGAGCAGTGAGGAGCCGCGTAGACACCGTGGAAGGCACAAAGTACCTCCTGCACATGAACCCATTGAGAGGGAGGCTACAGAAAAGGAGAGCGACATGACAGAAGGGGACAAGGAGACCCGGAACCACCAGCCCAAGTATGTAAGGGCCTGAGTGGGCCTGTGACGGTGGGCACGTGGGGTTAGGAGCCCATATACAAAGAACAGAGGGAGAGGGACAAGGTGACCTTACCAGGTTGCTTGCCCCTGTTGCCATTGCTTCCCATCCCCACCTCCCCAATTCTCACTCCCCTCATAGCAAGGCCCCTGGTAAAAGCCCCCGTCAACCAATAATTTAAAGGGGGGGGACATGGGGAGGGGGGACATGGACAGGACACACACGAAGGTCTTGGTGGTGGGGGAACTGGAGACATTGGGAACACATTGGTGTGGGAAGAGCAGAGTACTCAGGAGAAGAAAAAATGGAGGAGTACTATAAATCAAGGAGAGATTGCTGGGAAGGGTGCCAGCAGAGTGGCCAGACACTGGCTCTGACTCTGCAAGAGAGCTGTAGAAAGGGAAGTGGAGGCTCGGGCTAGTATCTCAGTGCTTGCCAACTGGCTAGCAACCAGACCAGACAGCTGGAGCCCATTGTTCAGCCTAGGGAAACTACTGCTCTGGACTGCTTCATTCTGTAAGCAAATCTGTTATAAATTGTGATACTAACAGTGCTTGGCTCTGTCAGAAACAAATGTGTCAACTCCATACCTCTGTTTTGGACCTAAAGACACATAAGTGTATAGGATGGTAGAGACCATGCAAAATGCTAGAGCAGCAGAGTTAGTAGTCCAAAATTTCTTTGCCTTCAATAAAGGGATAGGCGCAAGGAACTAGGTTTTGCAGACTGTATCAGATTGATGAGCATTTTGGTTTCAGGGAGCCTCACTATGATCTGGAGGCCAGTGGGATAACAAGTGTGGGTCCTCTGCACATGCTGCCCAGCACCTGTCTTCAGAAGGTGGAGGAACAACCGGAGGATGCAGACAACCAGCGTAATGTCACTCGGATGGGCAGTCAGCCCTTAGACCCCAGCACTACTGTTCATGTCCCAGTGACACTGACAGGCCCTCCTGGGGAGACCACGGTAGTTCCCAGTGAGTATCTCCCTGTATCAGTGGTAGCCCAGCAACGCCTTCCCTTCTGCTCCATAGCAGTGGCTAAGAATTGTTCACCTAGCTGGAGAGAAAGTTCTTTGTAATCAGCATCTGTTCTTTGATCTCTTTGCTTTCTAGTGCCCCAGAGGCAGCTGAAGATTAAATACCATTCTCTGTCCTCCCTCAAGTATCTTCAAGTTGCTGGCTTATGCCAGGCCCAGTGTTAAGTGCTAGGAACACAGTGGAAGCTGGCCAGTTTGCCAGAAAGGACCACAAAACATAGAATGGTCTTTATCCTTTATTGCTGCACAAAAACGGCTGAGGACTGGTAGCCACAGCTTTGGTTGGGTTCCAGAGTTGATGGGCTAAGAGGAGGATCTCATAGCTGTCATCTCTCTGCTCATGTGTTCCTACAGCTTGGCCCTAAGTGTCCCCTAGGCCTTTGTCTGAATCTGTTTCTTTTGTTGTTTACTCCTCTGTGTTTGAGAATCAAAGGGAGCATGCACTGAAGAACAGTGAACAAGCCCGCAGGTGACAGATGTGACCCTTCCATGGTGGGGAAGGAGTGTGGGCACTTCAAGGACAACCTTAGTATGTTAGATAACATTCCAAGGAGAGGGCCAGTGCTTTATGGAAGGCCAGCAAAATACTGCACTCTGAGCTCGGAGCAGGCTGTGAGCTGCATGTCCACATTTGAAGACTCAGTCACATACGCCTGTCTCTTTTGCTTGGGTACTCTCACAGGCACACTTCTGGGTAGAAAGTGAAGGGTGGTGGCTTTAGCTGCTCAGCCACCCCATTTTCTGAGCATCCTTGAAGAAAGTTGGTACTTCGCTCATTCTTGTTTCACTTGCCATCGGCACAAGAGAGTCTTGTATTCCCAGCCTCCTCCTTTATTTCTCTCTGAAGTAGCTTGAGAACGAGCCCAGGGATCCCAATGAACTTTTGTCCATAGAATTCACATGTGACCCCTTCTTACTCCCTGAACTCCACCCATGAAGACAGCTACAGACCATCTATCTGTATAGTTTTATCTTTTATTCAGAATGTCACTGAATTGTATAGTATGCAGGATTTCTGGATTGGATTTTTTTTTCACTTAGCATTATGCACTTAAGGAATTTTGTGGCTTGGAAGTTCATTTCTTAACTACAGTGAAGCTCCATTGTCTGGATATATCACACTTTACTTGTCCACCCATCTATTGAAGGATATTTCAGTTGCTTCTGGTTTTGGCAGTTACAAATAGACATTCATGTTCAGATTTTTGTGTTGATGAGCTCATGTGGGCACATACTTAAACATGACTGTGAAGTTGTATATGATAAAGTGATGTTTAGTTTTGTAAGAAATTGCCAAACTGTCTTCCAGTGGTTGTTATATTTTATATTACCAGCCAGCAGTGAATGAAATTCATTGTTTCACTTCTTTTACCAGCATTTGGTGTCACTAGTATTTTTTAGTTTAGCTGTCCTAATGAAATATGTTGAGGTGTTTTATTTTGCTTTGCAACTTCCTAATGATGTATGATAGTATCTTTTATTATATTTACTTGCTATCTGTGTGTCTTTTTTGCTGAGGTCTTTTTTTTTTTTTCCAAATGTCTAATTTCCCTTTAATTTGTAGGTTAGCACAGGGCTGCCTTGCTTTGTGGGCCCAGGCACCCTTCCCTGATGGGGCAGGCCTGCTGCAGCCCTTCTCCAACTGTGTCCTGCATTCCCTCCACACCCCAGGGGCTGGCTGGAGGTACGGGGCTGGGGGTGCCTTGCACGGCAGTTTTCAGACAAGGGGTGTTTATCTGCAGTGTACGAGGACAAACAGTAGAGACAAGAGAGACGCGCAAACATATGAGCCTGATCTTCTGGCTTGTGGATTAGAACTGTTCTGACAGCAATTCACATAGTCTCTGAGAGACAGTATCTTTGCTTGTCTGCAGAGTGAGTCAGTACATCTGGGCTTGCAGATTTGGTTCCAGGCGCAGCAGGAGCCTATCTGGGTAGTTTTGGTGTGTATGATGCCAGCACCCACAAAATTTGCAGGGTTAGGATCAACTTCTTCAAGGAGTGCAGAACCAAATCCAATAATCTTTGCTTTAGTGATTTCTGTGTCCATCGGATGCTTTGCTTTGAAGGTGTTCTGCACTTCGTGTGGCTTGCTCAGCTGCTTCCAACGTTGAAAGAAATCCTGAGAAGCCATTTCTGTGGGCTGGAAAAACTTGTTGAGTGTAATGGGCAGCTTGACAGACACGTTCTGGAAGGTGCCACCATACCTGAACTGGATGTTGAGTTGAGACAGGGTCTCCCTGTAGCCCCAGCTGGCATGGAACTCACTATATAGACCTGGCTGGACTCGAACTCACAGAGATCCACCTGCCTCTGCCTCCCAGGTGCTGGGATTAAAGGCATGCACCACCATGCCCAGCTTTTTACTGAGGTTTTTATTCAGGTCTTTTGCCCGCTTTTTAATTGGTTTATTTGTTTAATGACTAATGAGTTTCAAGATATATAGTGCACATACACACACACACACCCACACACACACACACACACACACAAACACTTTTTGAGACAGGGTCTCCCTGTAGCCCCAGCAGGCCTGGAACTCAGCATGTCGACCAGACTGGAGATCCACCTGCCTCTGCTTCTCAAGTACTTCCTTTTTATATTTTTGATAAGTATTATCAGATATATTTGACGAGTATTTTCTCCCAGTCTCTGGGTGAGCTTTTTTTAATTTTTTTTTTTAATTTAATAACCATGTGATTAGAAGAAGCATTTCATTACAGCTTTAACATATTCAGTAACACACTCCAGAGCAAGGATGCATCTCTTTCAAAGGCGGCTGTAAATTTTTAGGTTCACAGTTGAATTAATACAGTCATACAATATTGTACTCAGTATAAACCCTATAAGACATAAAATTGGATGAGGTTTTAACCTTTAAAAAAGATTTCCATTTCACTATTAAAATACACAGTTTCATACACACACACACACACACACACACACACACACACACACACTCAGTATACACACTCAGCTCATATCTCTATAGGATTAAATGACTGTATATATACAGCCATGTCAGATCCAGGAGTCCATCTGCAGCTCTACTTCCAGTGCTACCCAGCATGGAAAGAGACATTTACAGATATCATCAGCAAGGGCTCCAGCAGAAAACTCTTTTAAAAAAATTTTTATTGAACTTTTATATATTTCATACAACAGTTCTTGATCAAATTTAGATCCCCCCTCCATGATCCACACCTCTCCACTGCCCCCCACCCCACTGGACCTCATGTGTTCTGCCATACATGGTAAGTTCTATCCAGTCAAGCATTTGTACTCAGATGTCCTTCAGTGTAAATTGATGACAGGACTCAGGTTTGCTTTGCTTTGTGGGGGACCTACTGCTTCAGGGCAGAGAGTACTTGATCAATGACAGAGTCTTGGACCTTGGGACTTTTGTCATTTCAACGAGCCATTTTTTTCAAAATTCAGATGGCTTTTATACATCCCAAGGAACTAGCAGTCACGTGGGATATGGCAGTCACATACAAAGATTTAGGGTACAAAGAAACAGGACATTTAGTCTGTTAGTTGGCGCCAGAAGGATTCTTAAACTTTTACTCAAGGTTATCAATGCCCATCCCATAATTTATTGGTCACAATGTTTTCTTTCTTAGAGTTAGAAGCATGGTGAACTTTTAGCTTTTAGTTCAGAAGTAAACCTTTAACTTGGCCTAATCTCTTAGCCAGGGATAGCTGAGTTATTTGTTTAGTACAAGGAGATGAGCTAAGTGTTGTTGACCAAGACGCTTTCCCACAGAGCAGGGAGCCTGCACTTTTATGACCAGGCCACTTCCTCCTGCCAGCCTAACAGTGTTCTGCAGGACAGGGATTATCAGAGCCACTGTTTTCAGTGCCCCTCCCTTTAGCAGAGAATGCAGCCTGGACCTATAAGTTTTAGGCTCACCTCACCCTAGGGCCTGGCATCCTTGTTTCCTACACTAAAATTGTATTCTCTTTGTTTTGTTTTCCCAAGTATCTTACCAAAACTTTTGTGAGTATGTTTGTCTCTTCCTTTCCAAAATTTAGGCACGTCAATCCCTATGATTTCACTGACTGGCTCACTATTGGGTAACATTCAAGTTGGTTGGTACCCTTGCCTTGTTATACACCTGTGTGTATAATCGTGTTATAGTGTACATGAATTCCTGCTTCAGTAAATGTTTTTATCTGTCAAAAATACTGAATTTTTTGGAAGGTCTTTTCAGCATCCCTCGGGATCAGTTTCCCTTAAATTGGAGATACATAGCAATGAATTTCAGATCTAGAGCTGTCTTGGCAATAATGGGATACACCTCATTTGGTCATTATATTTATTTTTAAATGTGCCATTGGATTCTGTTTAATATTTTATATACAATTTTGGCTTGATACTTTAAGTGAGGTATGTTCTGTGACTTTCTCATATTGTGTTCAACTATCTTGAGGTTGGGATGTTGATACCACATAGTTACCTCTTGCTTAACTTCACTACTCTAATCCTGAAAATCATGTTTTAATTGTGACCATTATTTAAAAATTTTTATTTTATCTTTGTTGTACTAGGGATTGAACCCAGAGCCTTGCAAATACTAGGAAAGTACTCCATTGCTGAGCTACATCCTGCCCCTTTCTCATTAAAAATAGCAAAAAAATTATCACATTGCATACAAACTCAACCCCACAATTTCATAAAACATGATAAAAAAAAACCAGTTAAACACTAGAAAGTCACAAGCTATCATGTTAGAACATAAAAACCATATTTTTTCCTGATCACAAGTTAAAAAACTGTTAATAAGAAATTGCTTAGAATACCTCCTTTATTGACAGTTATGGCACTTTCAAAGACATCTATACATGATTCTGATAATCTACTAGTGGAATTTGAACTCTTGCCTGAGAGTTTTTCTCCACTCCGTTAAAACATTCTAGATATGTATACACTTCTAC